CAAGATGCTTGTGAAACATCCTCTATTATGATTGTTGAATTTACACCAAAGTCAGGACTTGGAAGTAGATTAAGTTGAAATTCTAATAAGTGGGGTTGCCTTTGCAATTTTTTGGTCAAACAGTTTTACAAATGACTTGATTATGTGCAAATTACATATTATCATAGAGAGCATTGTGATAAGAATGGGATTCCTTGTCATGATCAACTTGATCCAACTGAAGGAAAGTCATTATTTCCTCAATGACATTACAGGTAAAAGAAAAGCTTCTTGTAGTCCAGAAGTAACTCCTTTTACTAGGCAGAGGAAGACAAGAAAGAAAACCTCTTTAAACGAAAAACTCAATCTTAGCAAAGAATAAATAAAAAAACAAACTCTTTATATACTTACATTGCATATATTTAAATTAGTCAGAAGATTTCATAAGTTTACCACTCCTAATGGTCATCCATGACACTCATTGGCCACATAAAGCACGTAAAAAGGCGTCCACGCGTGCGCTAATTGAAATTTGGGTAAGTGTTGGGGCTGTGGCCACGTGGAAGTAATTTTAGGGCGCACGCTGGGCGCGGGCCTGATGCCACGTCATCGCCAGGTAAGCGGAGAGAGAGTGAATCAGGATGGTGTTTAACGGGAGGCCTTGTCAGCTGGGGCCACATCTCGGGCAGCCTCACCGTCAAGCGCGTGCATGAAGACCGCGAGGAGAAATCCAAGGTCCTTGCCGAGTTCATCAACAAGACCAATCCCGTGGAGATCAAGTGGCTGCTGATGATCATCAAGCTGGGCGAAAAGACGGTGTTCAAGGAGTCCCAACCCGACGCCGACGAGGTGTACAACAAGAATCTGAAGCTGGTTTGCGAGAAACCGGTGCGATTCAGGCGCCAGGACATCGAGGTTGGCAAGGCGGTGAGACCGCAGCTCGCGTCCCGGGTGAAGAACGCCGAGGGAATGCTTACCGAGTGTAAGTTCGATGGCGATCGGTGCCAGGTCCGGTGTGGAAGGGGTTGACGAACAAGTTTGCCGAGTTTGGGACAATGGCGTCGAGCAGCTTCGCTACATCGTCTTCGACATTCTCTACCTGGACGATTGCAGCGTGATTCGCCAGCCTCTCTGCGAGTGACAGAAGCTGCTCGAGCAAAGGGTGACGACTGTTCTCGAGCTGCTCCAGCCGGATCGGAGGAACTGCAGCGGCCAGCGCGGTTGATCATTCCCCAGTCTGCTGTCCACGTCGAGAAGTTCTTCCTGATGACCGTGGACAGCCGGGACGCCGTCAAGGACTTTGAAGAAACTGATGAAGCTCAAGCCTGACTACGTGAAGGAGAGCGTGCTGATTATTGGTGGCTACCGACTCATTTTGCAAGGTTGGCACGGGGCTCAATGAAGGGTGCTAAGGTTTGGTTGACAAGCACAGGAAAGCATGACAAGAACACCAAGCTTCCGAGTTACTACGTGATGAAGGACAACGCCAAGGATCGGCCGGACGTGTGGATCGAGCAGCTGGACAAATCTGTGCTCCTGAAGGCACATCCACTACGGGCGGCAAAAGAACTGCATGGTGGAGGAAACTCTGGAGCTCTTCGAGACGCACAGTGGCGAGCACGCCTCAAGTACATGGTTCATCTTCATTTTTGTCTCTCTTTCGTTAGTGTCCAGCTGTATTTGCAAAAACCCGACTTAATATTTGCGCAGCCAGAAGTCAAGAAGAGTGAGTATCTCAGCTACAGATGATCATTGTTCACATAATAACCCACACTCTCACTACGTGAGGAATGATGCAGAAAACTCGAGCAATGTAGGCAGTGCGGCCGACACAGCCCCTCACTGTTCTCTTCTTTCCCATGAGACAAGTGGCGGCCATTATGGAGAGTCCAAATCTGCCATGCAACCTTGTTCTTATAGACCTTCCACTAGAGAAAGGAAAAACTAGGAGGTCAAAGAAAAAACAATTGAGAAAAATATGAATGAGGTATGTCGTCGCCAAGGAACTTCTGGGAAGGAGAGTCTGGGAAGGAGAGTCCGCACCAAAGTTATACAGAACTTTGTCATCTCGGTGGGCCTCAAAGTCGCGATGCTGCACTCTCGTCCGCTACCTGTGGATGACGGTTCTGGTCGACGTCGGGGTGTGCTTGCTGGTGATCTCAAACAGCACGCTTTTACTCCGAGGAACAGGGAAGAAGAGATCATCGGGCCCGGAAGGAATTGCAAGGATCACGACCACGATCACGACGGTGGTAAACGGTGGTAAACGTTCTCGCGGAGGATTCTTGATTGTTTTGAGTGATCTGGGTACTCGCATTTTGATTCTGGAGGCCATGGAAGGCGAGGACACGACTTGCCGATCGCTGCTGCTGGAGCTCCAGGTAAGCCTCGGGTCCTCGCGAAATATTGCCTCTGGAGTTTATCACGATCGCGGTGGATCGACCGCGCGTAGAGCATCTGGGAGGAGATGGGGGAGAGCGACGAGGAGAGGGACAGAATGCTGCTTCAGCTGGAGCAAGAATGCCTGGATGTGTACCGGCGGTCGGTGGATCAAGGGAATTGCGTGAGGGCTCGGCTGCACCAGCTGCTGGCGGATTCCGAGTCGGAGCTCGCGTCGCTCCTGTCGCTCCTGGGTGATCGCCCTTGCACGGTATGCTTTGTTTGATCCATCTCACAGTGCTTTTCCAATGCCCGTTGTTCTTCCTTTCCCTTAGAGAAGAGGTCGTGCACTACTCTGCGGGGGCAGCTCTTGTCCGTCTCACCTCAGTTAGAATGCTTGCGTCTGAGGAAAGAGGAGCGGCTGAGCAATTTGAGGACGTCCAATGCCAGATACAAAGGCTCTCTCAGGAGATATCGCCAGGGACATTGCAAGAGGCCGAGAATGGAGCTTTTTGTTGGAAAGATTTGTCGCTGAGAAAGCTGTATGAGTACCATTGCCAGCTTCAAGAGCTTCAGGATGAAAAGGTTGGTTTGTATTGGCACGGTTGGCATTTTTTTTTCTTACAAGCGACATTTCCAGAGTACCCTGCTCCACAAAGTCTCAGAGCTTCTCGAGGTTCTGCAGGAATATTGCGTCCTGTTGGGGACAGACTTCACCGAGGTTGTCAAGGAAGTGCATCCGAGCCTTTGTGATCCAGGCCAGAGCAGAAGTATTAGCGATGAGACGCTAGAGAACTTAGCCAAGACGGTCGGGAGTCAGGTATAAATTTATTCTGTGTGCATTTCTTGGCTGATGTTTCGTTGTGCACAGGGATAGTGGACTTGTCAGAACTACTTGCTAGAATCGAAAGTAGTATCGCCAAGGCGAAGGAAGAATCACTCGACAGACGAGATATAATGGAAAGAATGGAACGGTGGATTAGCGCGTGTGAAGAAGAAAGCTGGCTTGAAGAATACAGTAAGGTATGAGCGTTATGCTATTTCACTTATTCATTTTCGATTGTAGGATGAAAGCCGCTTCAATGCAACCAGAGGAGCACATTTGAATCTAAAACGTGCAGAAAGAGCTCGTGTCATCGTGGCCGAACTCCCACAGTGCGTTTGATTTCTTCGTTTGTTATTTTCTTTTCTCAGTTTTCACAAGCCGTTTGCAGATCTTCTTGAATCATTGCAGTCGAAAACGCGGTCTTGGGAGGACGAAAGAGGCAGCCCCTTCTTATACAACGGGGTATGTTAGTGATTTTCGTAGGCGCCTCTAAAAGTGCTTTGCAGATTTTTCCACTTGCAATACCAGAAGAATATATCTTGCTACGACGAGAGAAAGAAGAAGAAAGGCGCCCACACTAAAGGTAACTCTGCAGTTTAGTCCCTGTTGAGACGTTAACTGGTTAAATGCAGGAGGAGAAGAGAATGTAGGAGCAACTGCAAACTGAGCAGGAGCTGCTCTACGGCACAAAGCCGTCCAAAACGGGACGTGTGGGACTTCGCCTGAGTGGAAACAATGCAAACCGACGACTTTCGATAGTGCCTGAGCTCTTATCCGCACCGAAGGCTTGCAATCAGGGACCCTCAAAAGGTTAGCCGGGTGAAACGCTACTCTCCGATGATGAATTACGCTGCCTTGCCTAAGGATCCCGAAGCTTCTTCAGTTCGATCAAAGATAGCTTTAGAAGTGACAGCTTATAAAGCTGTCACTGTTGGTGGCTAGAGCGATTTTGAAAATTAGGACGCTAAGCGAGGGTTATACTCTACGTAGAGTTTGTTTCTTTGCTAATCGCGTTTCCTTTTTCCAGTGCTCCGTGCTCTGTGTATTGGGAAAGCGTAGGAGCGTGTGCTATATGTTCAGAGCTTCGGTTGGTGTAAAGCATCGAACTAATTGTTTTGTGTTAAGTTTCATTCAAGGTACATACAAGTCTTGGTTTGCTTAAACTTTGAACTTCAAATTCCTCGTGCAGCTTCTGCCGTCGAGAATCGACGCAGACAAGTTTCACGCTGGTTATACTCTCAAATGATTCAAAGGCTCGCAAGCTTGACATGCTATGTACCACAGAGCCGAAACAACACTTTTAAAAGGACTCCATACCTTGGCAGCGGGCAACGAACAAAGCATGGCCAGGGCTAGCTTACTTCCTGTCCTTCTCGTCTCTTTTCTCTGCATTCTCCTGCCTTCTCAGGTAAGCACATCTTTTGAGCTCGCAGCTCTCTTCACTAACAGCTGATCTGCAGGGATGCTTCACCAAATACCGCTACGCGCTCTTCATCCCAGGCCACAACATCTTCCCTGTTGCAGGCTGCAAGAAAGACATTGGGCCACCTTACAAAGACGGCTGCAGCCTCGCAGCGCGTTGCAAAGTACCGGGGAGTGGAGTTCTTCGTCCATCGCGCATCTGACCCTGGATGATCTCCAGTGCACGGTGAGCTTCCAAGGTCCCATCGATCTGGACCGGGGCTCGTTTAGAGCCTCTGGAAGTGTCCCGGACAAGGACATTTGCTCCAGCGCGTCCAAGAGACTCTGGTACTTGACTGCCAACCTGGACACCACGTGACGACGTAAAAACTGTGCCATTTTAGCTGAAGCGGACAGGATTTTTCGATAATGGAGTGTGTGACCGCCTTGGTGAGCGGCTTGGTGACCCCGCTGTGTGTGGACACTGCCAAGAAGGTATGGGACTGCAATGCCAACATTGAAAGGCTGGAGAATATCATGGCGCCCAACATCCAGGACAAGATCGACGCTTTCGGTCGCCGCAAGGAGCAAAATGGACCTGGCTTTATGTTCTCTGAAGCGGCCGAGGAATGCTTGGAGCGTGTCAGGAAATGGAATAGCAAGGCACAAGAACTCCTGGGATCACGCAACAACAGGATCTGGAACCCTGTTAGACGGTATGTTTTGCAGCATTTTTGTGCAAGAAGGCTGAATTTATTTCTGCCGATAGGTACAAGCGGAGTGGCAAGATCATGGACTGCACAAACTCCTACGACGGTCTCCTGGCGCAGATCGAAAGGCACGGGCACGAGCTGAATGTGGACATTGCGAAGCTGGAAAAGGGGGCGACCAGCATCCGGGCCATGCTTAACAAGTTTAATACTCACAAGCACCGGAATCCAGACTTCCGCTACTCTGATGGAGCCGAGGAGTGGCTTGATCTTGTCACAAAATGGAACGACAAGGCGCAAGCACTGCTGGGATCACAGTAAGCTTACACAAGAGCTATAACAGTATAGCTAAAAGATCTATGGATCTTTCACAGGAAGAAGCGTTGTGGCGAGATCTCGGAGCTCATTCACAGCTACGAGGGCGATCTCCTTCCGAAAATTGAAAGGTACGAGCGAGAAGAGTTGGGAGTGATACAGCCGAGAACTAGCTTCGCCGTACGGAATTCCCCGCAAGACAGAGGCCTTGCAAAAAAATATGTACGGCGTGTTGTTCCTGAGGCAATGTTTGGGGGCCATGAGCAACTGCTGGATGAGGTGGTGAATGCCCTCTTGGATCCTGAAGCCCGTAGCAAATGGGTTGGACTCTTTGGAATGGGAGGTTGTGGAAAGACCACCCTCGCAAGCTGCGCGCACAATGACGAGAGGGTGCGGGAGCATTTCCATGACAACATTGTGTGGATCACTGTGAAGAAAGATGCTTCGGAGGACGATCTCAAGGACCAGCTCCTCAAAGCTCTTGAATGGGGTGAAATGAAAGAGAGGGCCGAAGGAGGCCTTGATGACATGCAGCACTTGGCACGCGATGTTGCTGGTGGTAAGCGTGTCTTGCTGGTACTGGATGATGTGTGGGACTGGAGCTGGGCAAAGAAACTGGATTTTATAGCAGGGCCATCCTCTGGCCGGATCCTGGTAACAACCAGAAAGGAAGGCATTTTGCTCAGCCTGGATCCGGATGCAAAGGCATTTCCTGTGCATGAGCTATCAATGGACGAAAGCAAAAAGATGTTTTGGAAGTTTGCCTTCGGTGTGCATGATCCACAACCTGGTGTTGTGGAAGTTGCGGAGGAAATAGCTCGAAAATGTGAGGGACTTCCTCTAGCTCTGGAAGTGATTGGCAGTGCCATGGCTGTGCACAGAAGAGAAGGGCCACTTGTGTGGGAAGAACGATATAAGAAGTTGCACTTGTCCAATGACCCAGATGTTGAGAAGCAGATGTTCAAGCGCTTGAAGTTCAGCTATGACGAGCTGGGAAACTATGAGGGTGAAAAGCTGCAAGAGTGTTTTCTCTATGTGGCTGCATTCCCAGAAGATAGGATGATTAAGTTTTCTGAGTTGAGGAAATGTTGGATGGAGGTTGGGTCAGAACTCTCAGCCACAGCGATTGTCAATGAACTGGAACGGAGATGCCTAGTCCAGATCTGGCGGGATGAAGAAGCTCCTGATGATATAATCAGTAAGTCTGGGATGGATGACGAAGCTCCTGATCTTATAATCGTACACGATATGCTACGCAAACTGTGCATAAGAATCTTAAAAGGGAAGTACGGTCCACAGCAAGAACACGAGAAGGGATGCCTGTTTGGATATGACTGGACAATTGGCATTCGGGATGCAACATTTGCTAAAGTCTCACTCATCTCAAAGGATGTTGGCAGCTTTCTATCCGATAATCATGTGCGAGATGTCTTACTTCTGGATAAATGTGAAGGACTTCCTAATGTGGATGACAGTCTTATCGATCACATACAAGGTGTCAAGGTATTGAGCTTGTGGCGATGCTCTAAGATCCATTTTATTCCAGAGAGCATATCCAAGCTGAGAAACCTTCAAGTGCTTCACATTCGAGAAACAAATGTGAGTCAATTACCAGATGTGCTTTTCAGCCTGACATCACTGAAATATCTAAAATGTGATAGTTGGCCGAAGTGTAACACTGCATTACTCCCCCAGCTCTCCAACTTGGAAGAGCTGGAGCTGAACGTTGATTTAAAAGAGGACCCATCAGTTGTGGATTTGACTGGAATTTCACGTAAACTAAGACTTCTAGAGCTAAGAGTGAGACATGGTACAATGAAGGTGCCAGAAAGCATGGGGAAACTGGAGCACATTGAAACATTGTATTTATTTGCAAATAGCATCGACTTTGCCAGTGTCGTTGGACGATGGCAACTTGTTAACCTAACAACATGTGTAATTGATTCGGCATCCGTCAGTAAAGCTCCCTGGAAGCGAATGTTTAAGAACTCAATCAGGCTTCAACGTTTTCACATCTCTCTAGAAGACAGTGAAAATAATGATGAAAGCGTTGAATGGTTGCAACTACGATATTTACGCATCCGTGATATAAACCTATCTTGGTTGCCCCACCGCCTAGGAGAACTTGAAATTGACTGCAGTGGTATCCTCTTGTTCAACTTGGATGGATCATTCCCACGTCTTGGAAATCTGATTCTTACTCATCTACACATTGCACAGTCAGAATTCAAGGGTGATTTGGCTGCCAGTCTTCCAAATCTGAAAGACTTATGCTTTGAGCTAGCTCCTGATATTGAATGGGAGCACTTGCCTCTCTTTGTGGCACAGCTCCCCAATCACCTCCAGTCTCTGACAGTAAGTGGTTGCATAAAGAGACTTTTGTTGCCAACCGAGAGGTCATCACTCAAGGTTAACTATCTTTCAGTATCGACCAAGAAGATGCAAAATGATTTCTTTGAGCCATCAGATCAAATGACTGATATAGAAATCGTGGAGTTGAGCTGTGATGAGAGTATTGTTCCATCGTCCATTGCATCGCTGCCAGGTTTGAAGTATCTTGACATTTCAGGGCGAAGGGTGATACATAACGATGCACTGTGGTCCCACAATCACAGCCAGGGCGCATTTCCCAGGCTGGAAGAGCTAGACTGCCCGAAAGGCATGAAAATTCCACCTTGGCTTGAGGACCGCCACAATCTGAAGATAAATCGTCGTAAGTTTTAATTTCCAAAGCGTTTTGGTATTCAAACGTCTCAACTCTACGTTCTTTCCTCAAAATCAATATATACAAAAATGCAACTGCGCCACTACCCTTACACCTCTCACGTCCCTGGCAATCTCTACCACCTCGGGTTTGCTCCTCGTCGATTCAAACTGCTACCTCGGTTTTGCTCACAGCAGCACCACCTTTGCCAGCTCTTATCCTCGCCAGGAAACCTCTCACGAGAGCCTGCATTTTCGTCGCAGTTCCCTGGATGTACACGGCCTGGATCCGCTTCTTACACTCGATGCGCAGAGTGAGAGGCAACCCCTGCGGTAATCCAACCCAAACGTAAGTATGAAAAGCTTGGAATAGCAGCTACTTACAGTTGGTCCGATCTTCTACAGCGTCAGCGTTTCCAGGAGCTCCTTAAAAGGGATTCCTTTGTTTGGAACTCGAAAACTCATCACCTCGTACTCTATTCTCATGTGAGCAGAACAAAGAAGAAAACGAGATTGGGAGGAGTCCGCAAACACACCCCAAAGGGTCGCGGACTTGTAGCGCCGGCCCAGCGGGTCACCGAGGGCGTTTACAGCTTGTGCATGCCAATGTATCCCGTAGCACTGGACGATTGTTAAGTTAGTTCTACAAGGACTTGAATGTAAGTGGCTTAGGTGGGATCGGATGGTTCTTGGCTCCACAAGTTTTGATATGCTAACAGGTGCTCCGGCATGACCATAGAGTTCTCGTTCACAATACAGCATCCAGTATGACAGCCACGAACAAGTTCATGAATGTGGCTCCCGACCAAGACCAAGAAGGCGAAGAAGATAATCCCGCCCTCTACAATCATCGGCGAGTAGTGTTTTACCGTTGGTGCAGGCCGGTGCATCCTTCATAAGGCAAGACCAGTTATCAAGAGTTGTAACCTGTAAAAGGAAAGCGAAACTGAAAGTGATAGAAAAGCAAGCCTTTACCTGAAACACTACGATGAAAGCGAGCCATCAGTCTAGCGAGTGACGTTCACAACAGGGAACATGCTGTCTACACTATTCGTCTGCATCCTATCAAACGGTTGCAACGGATCTAGTACCGAGGCAGACACCATCATCTCCTGCAGCAAGCCAAAGATATCATGCCCCAAGAGCTGCTTGAATGCTCCAAGCCCATTTGCTTTCAAGATGACTTGATTCCCCCGAGGCATGTCAAGCCAAGACTTCCAAGACTCAAACAGTCTCGGGTTCTTGTCCGCTGCTTCTCCCATAATTTCCGTTTTGAGCCTCCTGTTTTTGCTTGGGCCTCGCTCTCCAGCACAGCCTCAAGCACCTTGCTCTTCGTTTGTCCACGCACAGCTTGCTCCACACGGTGAGGATCCACCAAAGTCACCTTGTCACCATCCCCGAGTACGTTCATGTGAAGGCTCAGAAATGGGCCGGTGTTGGGCAGCCCACAAAAGGCAGGAGACTCCTTGGCCAGATCAATGAGGCCATAGTCTGAATCTTTGGCCTTCACCTGATTGTGCACCTTCACAGTCCCCTCCGCATCAGCAATGAAATGGTCAACACCCCACGTATTGTCGTCAGCTACTACGGCACATCTTCTTTCAGAAGCCGCCCGCAAGTCTTGCTGCGACAACTCGTGGCTCTTCTTGTGAATCTTGTGGAACGAGGTTATGCAAAGCTTAGAAGCCGCTACTTGTTGCACCTCGTTGGTCAGGAACTTGATCCCATTCCCCTCAACCTTCTGCTTCTTCTGACATATGAACTCGTAATGGTTGTCCTGCTCACGAGCAAGCCGCAACAATGACTTTCCCACAAGTTCCTCCACGAACTCATCGACTGTGCACCAGCTCCTCCTGGCTTTCATGCTCGCCTTGTCAAGAGCTCGCAGCATGATAATCCTGGCTACAAGCTCGCCTCTGTACCCCTTGGACACCCATCCACTCTTGAAAGCCATTGCGAGCGGGAAGTAAAGCTCCCTGTTCCTTTGCCGCCTGTCCAACTCTCGCATAATATCTGCTGCAGCGCCTGCAAGAATTGGTTCCATAGGCCAGCCTGCCCACAGGCACTCCCGAGTCTCGTTCACCTTGATTACTGTCATCAGGTAGCTTGCCACCAGTGTGGAAACCACAGCACAGTGTGGATCAATATGGATGGCGCACCTTGAACCCACCACAGCTAGTGCCGCCTCCTCTTTGAGGCGGCTATCTTGTGAACTGGGGGAGAGAGCATACTTGGACCAGCCTCCTCTTCCACCCAGTAGCTTGTCACGGGCGAGGTTGAAAACATTCGTCAGGGCCCTAGCGCTTGAATATCGCTCCAGGCCACCCCTGAACGTCGACCACCACAGGGGTCTACCGTACCTCAGAGGCCAATATTCAGACAAAACGTCATCTTCGGGAATGTCATGCTGCCTGCAGATAGTGTTCCAATCTACTATGCCATGATCCGCCCAGAAACAGGCCCAGATTGGAGTAGCCAGCCTCAGATTCGTACCCGGCAGACGGTCAGAGGGGTCCATCCATATTTCCCCAGCGAAGTTTCCTATCTTGGCCGTGTCAGCAAAGAGCGCAAGAACCCCGTCACCTTGCCTAAATGCGGAAGTGGCTCTTCGCAGGGGCAAGAACACATTCTTATCAAGCAGCTCCGGTACTAGGATCCTTGCCTCGTCAAAGACGAAGAGTACCTTCAACTTGTTGCTGCCTGGTGAAAACCTTTCCAACTTCTCCACCACTGGTTCCATTCGACGGGCAGCCCGCTCTTCCCAATCTTTCCAGCACTCCCCGCTGGTGTCGCCTTTGGATTGATAAAGGCCCTCACCAACATACACCGGTAGCAGCTGCTCCACTCTCACTTTGACAGCGTCCCAGAACCGGATGCCTTGCTCTGGATAAGGAAAGCTAGCCTTGCCGTCCTCGTCCGTATCCCCACTTCTATACAGGATCTTGACAAATTTTTCCGGTGTTAGCGATGGAGCCACTATGAGGAACTCTTCCAGGACCGCCTCGAAGTAGGCCAGGCAGAATGCCATGCAAGATAGCTGCCCCTCCTTTTCTGAACTAATAACTGAGTTCACTCTCTCTAGAAACCACGCGGCTATCGGAGAACGTCTGGGATATCCTGTCCCCTGCGCAAATGAGCAATACACTACCCAAACATCCTCCCTACACAGCTCACAAATGGTCCTCGATTTTCCCCATCCGCTCGACTGGAAGATCGATACGATGCGGCAAAAAGTTGCCTGCTCCAGTGCCTCACTCAGAAGATCGAGCAAACTGGTAACCATCTCCGGACGGCGGAGGTCCATCTCGAACGCACGCGACGCCACACCCCACATGGCCGCTCGTTCTCAAATGCTTCCTGGAAAAAAAAAACTGTTTTTTCACAATCTCGGAGCCTTATACCCTACTGCGTGAATTAAAGGATTCCATTTGTTGGCAAGCTTATAAAGACATTCCGTGGAACTGATTTGGCAGGGACGACCGCTGCACTGCTAGAAAGTGGCCGCTTACAATGGAATCTCCATGAAGGACTCCAAACGGAAATTCATCAAGAAAAAAGAGAAAAGAAATTCATCAAGAGTCTGGTTGTTCTATCTTAACCTTCGCAAATGCAGTGCATCGTAAACTCTGGACGATCTTTACAGCTGGGAGTAAGACATAAGTGATCCCGAAGTTTGAACAAGCTCTCTTGATCAAAGATCCCTCCTGCCGGGCTCACACGGTCTGGGGCGGGTACGAGAGCACCTTTAGCATCATCCAAGATGTCCCGACGGCAAGAGCACTCCCGCCAAGGGTTCTCTCCATTTTTCTCATGCATATTCCCTACAAGGGTATGGTTGGGTATGAATCATGTGTCGGTTCCTCCATTTTTACGTCCTTTCCATTTTTTCTTGTAGAGCATTTCATTATTACTTGGAAGTGTCCAGAAAAACACACGAAAAAACAGACACTGGAAAACTACAACCAGCCGAATGAAAAGTCCACTCCTTCTTGCCGATACTGTAGCTTACCAGGTTTTCCACCATGCCCTCCTCGCTAAGCAATACCGCCCACAAAGTGTCGCCACCATCGCAGCAAAACCCATTTCTCCGTCCCCTAGTCACCACCGGGCACTTGGTCTCCATCACCCATTCGTTACTCTCGGGCACAAAGCGCCACACTCCCACGGTGTACGGCGGCAGCAGCAACAGCACACAGCCAAAGTACTCCTTGTCCGGGCATATCACGTCCATCACAAAGAGCTGACCACCGCAGTAAACCATCGCTCCCACTCCCACAAAGCTGGGAATGTCAACGGGCCACCTTGGTCGAGCCACAGTCGTTGACTGATCGCACAGGGAGTAAGACACAAGCCAGATCTCGATCACTCCGCCGTGAAAAAGGGGGATGTTGTAGTAGAGCGTGTCGCCGCCAACCATAAAGTCAACGCCGCGAACGCCATGCCTGTAATCGGCGATCGGTTTCCACGTTGACCACTGACCTGCGTCGTAGACCACAACTTTGCCGTCCCCCAGGGCGTTGACGCTGATGATCTGGTAGCCTCCGCGTGGCCGCGTGGCAAGGGCGTGGATTGGATTTGCCGCCGTGGAGTGCCACCTAAACGGGAACACCACATCATCCCACATACCGGTCAACGGGTTGCCTACCACCAGCCTGCCCGGGCAGTCGGTCGTCGCGCACACGAGTCCACCGGCTGCCCCAACAAAGCACGAGGATTCGGGCAGAGAGCAAGATTCGGGCAGCCCTGCCCAGCGCCTGTCCCGCGTGTCATACGCGATGAGCTGGACGGAACCCCTGGCCCTGAGCACCAGCAACGTGGCAGGGACACGGGGGCAGTAGGCGGACAGCGTGGCAGTCCACGCCCTGGACACCGCCTGGCCTGTCATGAGCGACGAGAGGGGGAGCCTCTCGAGCACTGATTCCTGGATTTCTCCCGGCAGCCCTAGCCATGAATCGAGCTTGCGGTGATCTTGGTGCTGGATCGTTACCCGGGGTGGTCGCGGGTGAGACTTGCAATGGCCCGAGCAGCCCGGCGGCGGTGGAAGATCTGGCGGCGGCAGGGGCTTTGGGCGCCAGCAGAGGGCCGGCGGCGATGGATCGTTGATGGGCGGCGGCTCCGATCGTTGTGGCTCTTGTCGCGCCGGGCGCCTCCAGATGAGTCGAAGGGGCTCGCGGGCCATGACCCTAAAAACCCTAGCTCAACACGGAGTACCAAAAGTTTAAATAGGAAAATGGAGGGAAAACGGCATTCCCGCCTCGTTATGGATTTTCCAGAATAACCTTCTCTTTTCTTTTTACCCATGTTTTCTTAGAGGTAAACCAACCAGGACTTTTATCCAAAATCTTTTGCTCAGGACCCAAACATACGTTTCGGGTTCGAGTCTTGTCGATAATACTTGTAAATGGAGCTCATGTAAGCTCGAGATGATCCTGGAGAGGTAGCAAAGAGACGACTGTGATCACAGGAACGTTGATGTTAGAGAACCGAAGACTTGTTGACAATCACCTGGACGACGCAATTGGACATAGAATCAAACACATGTTGTTTTGCGAACGTATGAATCGTGTCACATTATTCATGGGATAAAGAGTGTTTCGTCCTAGCTCTACGCACAAACAAGAGATTGATTTGGACCGAGCGCCAAAGATTCTCTCTTATTCTTTTTTTATTATCCGAGAGCGCTCGAGCTACCTAGTCAGATTTTTCTCTTTCTTGGAAGCGTAGCGTGTCTTCCTTTAGTTCCTCCTGGATAAGCAAAGATAAGCGATGCCTTTAGCGCACTTAAAAGAAAGATGCCCCTGGTAGTTAACTGCAGTTATGTTAAGCATTGGTTATTAGGGTCTCCTTCCCCTCACGCTCGATCGATCCTTCTCTCTTCGCGATCTGCGATCTGGGAGGAATTCTGGAGCTCTGGGATGGGCGAGGCGGCGGCGGGCGGCGGCGGCGGCTTCTCGGTGGAGCTCACGGGCCCCAGAATCTACAGCTGCTCCAATTGCCGGAGCCACATCGCCGATCACGACGACATCATCTCCAAGGCATTCCAGGTGAGGCCGATCGATCGATCCATCTCATGCCCGAGATCCTATTCTCCTCTTTCCTTATCCGGATCTCTCGTCCTCCTCCCAACTCCAAATATTTCGCTCCAATCTCGCCGATCCTCCCCATTTCCTCGCTGCCATTGCCTCGATTTGTGTTGATCGAGCCTCTCCACTCCACTCATCCTTGCGAATTTCCAGGGAAGAAACGGTAGAGCTTATCTCTTCTCCCACGTCGTCAACACAAGCGTCGGCCAGAAAGAGGACAGGCATCTCATGACTGGGCTTCACACAGTGGCCGATATTTTCTGCCAACAGTGCCAGGAAATCCTTGGCTGGAAGTACGAGCGCGCCTACGAGGAATCCCAGAAATACAAGGAGGGCAAATTCATCCTCGAGAAGGCCAAGGTCATGAAGGAAGATTGGTGAGAGATCAACGCAATCGCAGCGTTCGATCCACTCCAGCCCACTCCATTTGTGTATACGCCCACTGCTGCCGCGTGGATTTCCACTCTTCTGTACAAACACACACACACATGATTGAATTTGCTCGGGCACTCGATGCCCACTGTGATTGCTCCTCCCGAGAGCTCGCCGCCGCGATCAGATCGAGCAAAAACTCGCGCGACCTCGAGCGCGCCCACTCGAAGATCCTCGCGAGCGCCCACAAGCACGATCGCTACCTCGCCAATCTCCTCATCCAGATGTATGGGCGCTGCGGTGACCTAATCTCGGCGCGGGCGGTGTTCGATTCCATCCACGCACCGAATGTTTTCTCGTGGACGCTCCTCCTGGCCGCCTACGCGGATGCCGGGCATCTTTTGGACGCCGCCGCCGTGTTTGATGCCATGCCCGAGCGCTGCGCCGTGACGTGGAACACGATGCTAGCGGCATATTCCAGATGCCAGGGTACTCGCGAGGCGGCGGCATTGCTCGCGAATATGCCCGAGCCGGATGTTGTCTCTTGGACTACTTTGCTCACAGCATATGCCAGTGTTGGGCATTTTGAGCAGGTGAAAAGAGTGTTTGATAGAATGCCGTGTTGGAACTCGCAGTCGTGGAATGTTATGATTGGAGCATGCGCTAAAAGCGGGAATCGTGACGCTGCTGAAAGAATATTTTGCGAGATGCCTTTTCCGGATATCGTCTCGTGGAACCACCTTCTATTTGCGACTGCTCAGAATGGGCATTTTGACAATACAAAGAACGTGTTTAAAACTATGCCATTGCATGACATTGCTTCTTGGACGACAGTTGCAGGCATGTATTTTCAGCACGCCAACTTTGTAGAATCTAAAGAAGTCTTAGACGAGATGCCAGAATGGAACATTGTTGTGTGGAACTCTTTCTTTTCAGCAAATGCCAAAAGCGGGCATTGTGAAAGTATAAAGAGGCTATTTGATTCATTGCCAGAGCGTGACATCTTCTCTTGGAATTCGATGCTTGCAGCGTACGCGCAGACCTCACAGCCCCGGAATGCTCGCGAGATCTTCGAATCCATGCCCGAGCATGACACGATCTCCTGGAACACGATGATCGCCGCCTACAGCCACGATCACTCCCACCTCGAGGATGCCCGCAGCCTCTTCGATCAAATGCCGGCGTGGGACATCGTCTCCTGGAACTCGATGATCGCAGCCTACGCTCGCAATGGGCGAGGCGACGAAGCCCTCAGCTTCTTCGCGGGAATCGATCACCCGGGAGCTCGCAGCGAGGCCACATTCGTGAGCGCGCTGGACGCCTGCGCTGATCTTACAGCGCTAGGCAGCGGCGCCGCCATCCATGCCCAGATCGCTAGCGGCGCTGGATCCAATTCCACGCCTCTGACCAACGCGCTCATCCACATGTATGGCAAATGCGGCAGCCTCGATCGCGCAATCGCGGTCTTCCAGAAGATGTGGCTCCACAACGAGATCTCGTGGAGCTCCATGATCTCGGCGCTGGATCAAAACGGGGAATCCGCGAGGGCGGTGGCGATGCTGCCGATCATCAGCCTCGAGGGCGCGCTGGCCAACGAGATCACCTTCACGGCCATCCTCACGGCGTGCTCGCATCTCGGGATGATCGAGCCGGCCTTCCAGTGCTTCGTGTCGCTAGGGCAAGACTATGGCGTGGAGCACAGAATGGAGCACTACTCTTGCATCGTGGACCTCCTTGGACGGTCGGGATGGCTACCCGAGGCCGAGGAGCTCATCCTAGCCATGCCGTACGAGCCGGATCCCATGACCGTGGCCAGCCTGCTCGGCGCCTGCAAGCTCCAGGGAGACGCTCAATGTGGCGGGAGGGCTGTACGGCGGCACCACAAACACATGGCAACCTCTGGACCGTTGGTGCTGGCTAGTGAGCTGGCAATTGACGTGTCTCCACGTAATTGTACACGGTGTACAGCTTAGGGAATTAGGGTTCTTAAAGTCAAAAGTCTCCTTGCGCGGGAGCTCTCTAGGGCGCCGAGGGAGGGTCATCGCCATCGATCGATCGGCAGAGCGGCATTCTTGGCGGCAACGCGCTGATCTTTCAGGTACAATTGATTCTTTCAGGCTCCTTTTTGTGTACAAACAGTTTGTGCTGGAGAAGGAAGTGAAAATAGAGGGCCAGCATTGAGAGAAAGAGAGAGGAGCGGCCAGTGATATCCGCGAGGAAATCTGGATGAGAAACTTAGATCAAGGTAGAGGATTTACGAAATATCGTGTTTTTTTTCCTGAAACCTTTGAATGGTTTTTTAGGAGGCAACTTCTATGCCGAGAAGACAGTGCGGGTGTTCTTGCAAAGGTACCCAAACTCTTCCTTATGATTGATTCCTTTGTACGCAGCAAATTTACCGGTTTTGGGATTGTTTCCTGGCATGTTTCCTGTCGTGCTTGCCTCTTCAACTCATAGTTCTTCTTGCTTGAAACACTATCGTTGCGTTTAAGATGTGAAGTACAAAATTAGCAGAGTTTCTGATCGATGGACTGTGTGATCAAACTCAAGTGACTTGCGTGTCGTTTATATGCTTCTCTCTGTTGTGTCTTAGTCGTACAGTGGTATGTCATATAGTATATCGATCTTTTTTAACAATTTTTTTTTTCCAACTTTGCATCACTTCGTTAGATGGTCTTCAGGCGATGGCTGTTGGAGTTGTTCCGGGCCAGAACTGTTGCAAATGCTGTTGCTGCTGCTGCTGCTGCTGATGGTTTTCTTCCTCGTCATCGACGTCCAAGCTCCTGGTGCTTGATCCCTTGAGGACAATCGGTGCGTGATTGTTATTGCTGTTATTTCCCTGGCTCCCTCCTGTCGATACAGAAACAAGGGGCGGTGGGGAGGAGGTGCCACAAAAGTCCTCCTTGCAGGTTCCTCGGTAGTGGTGAGGAATGTAAGTTCCTGTAGAGCTCTGGATTTCTCCTCCAAGAGCGGAAGTGGCCGACATGGGAACAGGGAACACGACTTGCTCGTAAACCGCAGAGGGATTTTGCTGCTGCTGCTGCTGCTGCTGTTGCAACGATGCCACGCACTTCGAGAGCTGCATCTGTACGTTCATGAGCTCGCCTTGTAAGCTGGCCACCTGAGCGACAACAACAAGAACAATCGGAAAGAAGCCGAAGAAGAACAAAACTATAAAGAGGAAGGGGAGTATGGGAAAAAGAAAGACCGTCACACAAAGAGAGCTTCGATTGGGACCTCTTGCTGGACAGAATAGACAAGGTTATTTCACAGTCAGTACAGGTGCAAGTATATCTGCAAGGAAGATATTCGTAACGGAATTGGGAGAGAGAGCAGCAAGAAAATAGAAAGGACAGAATGATTGGTCAAAGATCTCAGCACTCGATCGCCGCTCTCGGGATCAACTCGAGATGAATTTGTTTCGAGATAAGGCAAGGCAAAAAGAAGTTTTGGCTCTACTGGCGGGTCAAGCAGACTTGGACTTCGTGATGGACAAGTATTGTTCGTGCATTGGGAATTGAAGTGAAGATCGCAGATGAAAGAGGAAGCCAAGGAAAAAGTTTGTATGATGGAGAAGGTGATGCAAAGATGGGAAGTGATCGAGGTTCTTACCTGGTGCTGGAGAGCAACAATTGTGGCGACACAGCCATAGACAGGATCAGAAAGACGGGCCTGTGCTTCATAGGAGATCGTCAACACCGCATCGCTCCGCTTGGCTACGGGGATATGATGCAGCAGCTTGGTCACGTTGCTGGCTCCAAAGATTTTGTGCACCGCTGCGAAGCGTGCAGCGCCCTGCTCCGAGTTGAAGTGTGGTGCAAAGATGCAATTGTTGACGCACTTCCTTCGCAGGAACTTGCAAGCACCGCAGGGGGCCCCGTTGCTCATCCTCGAGAGGCCAGACAAAATTCTCAAACTTCGAGGAGAGAGATCAAAGGAAAGTTCGACTGAAGCAAGAAGAATTGGTGGAAGCCAGCTCTGAGCTATCGAGAAAGAGGAAGAAGCAAGAAGATGTCTAGTGCGATGACGGGCGATCCTGCTGCTCGTTGAGAATTGTCCGCTGAAGGCCCATTCCCCGTGCGGCAAATACGTGCAGGTAAGCTTTGCTGTACCTCCTAAACTGTGCTAACCATCCACACATGTTTATCTCTCTCGGACCCGTCCTCCTTTTTCACGTAGATGGAATTACGAACGAGGAAAGGAGCTGGAGCAAAAAAAAAAGAAATCGCTTGCCGCTTTTTACGTTTGACTGCTACGAGTGCATCGATCGATGCGCATGGTGAGTCATTTGCTGATCTTGCGAAGGTGGACTGACTCACTGATGATCTCTAGCTTTTGAGGGAGCGGTGGACACACCGACACTAGGCGGACGTGCTTGAGCTCTTCTCTTTGGGGGAAGTAATGAGAAGAGTCTCCTGCTTAAATGAGGGGATTTATCAAAGGGCTGTTGCTTCTGGTACCGATGCTGGCTCGTGTAAGTTACTGTTATTCCCTGTGCTTTGGTCTCTGATGAGAGGGAGTTTTTCTAGCAGTTAAAAACCATGAGGAGCAAGCGACTGGAAATCAGGACTGGAGACTGGATGGTTTAAGCGGAAAAATAAAAAAGAGGAGGAGGATGAAAAAAAAAGGTGAAGGAACCACAACAACAACAACAACAGGAAAGGCTTAAGGTACTTTTTGTTTCCGCTTTGCTTTATGTGACGTGGGGGGAGGCATGCGTAGCTTGCACGCTATTCAGATGATGGCTGCCGGGAACGAATATCCTCGACTCGCTCGAGCTGCGAGAAGAGGCGAGTTTTCGTTTTTCCAAGCTTTAGCTGGTGGTTTTTTGGTTTTCATGGTTTTTGTTTCTACGCATAATGCGCGGATTTCTGAAAAAACGGCCCTCGCCCTCGCTTTGGAATGAGGCCTTTGAATCTTCTCTGCGTCGCACGCAGCGCGCACACAGATGGCAAAAGAGGGAAAGATTTTTATATAAAGTCGACAAGCTCGCTTGCAAGCGAGATAAAAAAAAAAGGAGAAGGAGAAGGCAGAAAAACAAAGAAAAAGAGTGAGTGAGTGAAGCACGCACTCTTGCTTATCTCACTCTGTTGTGGCCCGTTATATGGCAAAGGTGTCAGGGAAAACTTATCCAAGGATTAAAAACCATGGAAGAAGAAACAAAGCGAGAGAGAGAGAGAGGAATTTTTTTTAAAGAAAAAGCAAAGGAGGTGGGCGGGGTGGGAATCGAACGCCCGACGTGGTGCGTGGATTCATGTGGAAGTGGTGAAGCTTGCCGGTGCTCAGGAAACGTGGCGGGTGTTGCGGGCAAAGAAAGCGTCAAACAAAACAAAGGGGCAGTGCATTATAACTTGTGCTCTGTCGGAATAATCGACCATCTCTCATTCATGGCTGCTCATCTCATCTCGAGCCGTTATACTGGTGGAAGGAAAAAAAGAAATTTTTTTGCTCCTCCCACGAACTTTTTTCCAGGAAATTTTTTGGTGGGAATCATTCGATGCTTGGCTCATACACGAGCCTCCGATTTGCCGAATTCGTTTTTGTTGGCTACCTGTTGGGATTGAATCATTGAGATTCCAATGTGTCGCTGGGGAGCAAGCAAGGAAGCCAAGAACCCTAAAATGGTTAGGAGTGGTGCTTTGAAAGGTTGGTAGGGGTCCTGGATGGAAGAGGAACAGCACTCTTTGAATTTGCACAACAAAGAAAATGGAGGTGTTATCAGCGTTGTTTTCTCGCTGATCTCGACACCACGCAATTATTGACAACAGCAAAATGCGTCTTGCATTGCGTTGTGACCAACCTCTCTTTCTAAATCACAACAAGAACAACGCTATAAATTCTCCTCCTTTTTGGCCCACAAATCAAAATAGCGCGAAATAAAAAGGAAAAATCGCTGTAGGATCGGACAAGCAAGCAAAGCAGGGGTGGCAAAGAAGAAAAACACAAGAGCCCCATAGGCAAAAGAGTCTGTTTCCTTTCCAACTCGAACTTTCCCTGTCCTTGTGTGTCAAGGGAGGGAGCAAAACAAAAGCAACAAGAATCTGTGTTGTGTGATCCCACACAAAAGCCCACGCAATGCGTAAGGCGAATCAAACATCTCCAATTCAATCGCTTGGCCATCGCGTTAAAACGACAGAAGTTGTTCTTGCCTTGCTTGAGCAATATGCATTTCTGCTATAATCTCTAGCAAAATGGAGGAACAATGCCACTAGTGAAAATTTTATAATATTTGCTTACAAATAATTATAGCCTTGGGAACGTTTGATACTTTATATACTTCTCCTTCTCCCTGTACATGGTGTCATTTTCGGGGATGCTCCGCATCATCCACAATCACATTTTCTTTGTTGTGATCCATCAATTCCAAATTGAGAGCTTTCATAATGCTCCAGCTAGCACCAGGTGTTGTTTAATCACTCTTGTCATGGTATTTTGTTTAATGAAATCATTATGAATAGAATAGAAAAAAAATCCGGGCTGGGCCACATTGTTCAAACCTGAAATTCAAAGTCGCGGGCTCCGCTAGCCTTTATTATAGTAGAAAAAAACTTACTTCGCCAAAGAAAATAAAGAATCTGTTAACTTCCTTGTGTTCGTCGATGAAGACAACAAGCAAACCAAGAAAAGAAAAAAGATAAATAAAAGCACCGCTGCACCATACCCGAGATTTACAAGCAACCAAAAAGGAAAGAAATAAAGAAAAAAAAAAAAAAAAAAAACAAACACGCCGGCTGGCTGGCTGGCTGGCTTGACTCTCATGCAGCACTACCAAAAAAGAAAATTAAAACACGATGAACGACGAAATCAGCACAAAAAAAAGAAGGAAAAAACAAGGGGAAACATTTAAAAAAATTTGAAAAGGAAACCAAAAGAAAGAAAGGGAAAAAATTCTCGGTTGTTTGTGTTGTTTTCCAGTTAGAAGAAGCTGCTGCCCGCCACCTTTGCTGTCACGCATTCTTTCTTCCATTTCGTCTTTCATTTTTTTTCCTTTTTTTTGGTGATGTTGTTGCTGTTGCTGTTGTTGTTGAATGAAGATGGCATTATGATCCCGGTAGCGAGATGTTGATATCAGTTCCGTGCCCACCACCTTGATTCTGCTGCTCATCACCTGGGCTGGAAGACCAAGCCATATGGTGGTGGTGGTGGTGGTGGTGGTGAACCGGCGACGAGTTATTATTGTTGCTGGCATTGCCATCGCTGCTGCTCTTGTTGGCATTGGTGCTGCTGTTGTTGGCGTTGGCACTGGCACTGGCGTTGGCATTGGTGTTATTCAAGTTGGTGGTGGTGGTGGTGGTGGTAGTGGCCATGGCGGTGGTGGCGGTGGCATGGCCAGCGTCGTTGAGAGGACTGGCTCCCAGCGGTGGCCGCGTGGCCGTGGACATGGGCGAGGCCATGGGCGAGGCCATGGGCGAGTTCACCACCCCGGACAGCATCTCGCTGGAGGAACCCGAGGTTGGGCGGACTTGGACTTGGGGTGGCTTGCGCGTCTCGGCTATAAAACTTCCTACGACGACCTGCAAGACGAGGCTCCGATCCATCATCACGAAAATCAAGAAAAAAAAAGTGAGCCATGAAGTGGATTGGATTGTGTTACCTGGACTGGGCTTGCGGCTACGAGCAAGCCCGCGACACTACCACCTATGACGCGTCCGTCGGGCCCGGCCAGCGAGACGCTCAGGCCGCCGCTCCTGCTCTTGGTGTTACCGTTCTCGGTGAGGAGGAAGGAACCCGAGAGTGACAAAATCTCGAAGCGTCCCTGCAAGGAGGGACCGATATTGGATATTGGAGCAATCAGGCAAAACTATCCATGTTGATCATACCTCGTATGTTACAGTGCCCCCCGAGGTGGCGGGCTGGCGGAGTGTTACGTTAGAGATGGCCCCGTTTGCAGAGAGTACGCAGGTGGCCCGGGGCCCGATCTGCGCAAACGAGATGATCCTTGTCGCCACGTCCTGGATAAGAGATCGCCGAGATTAAGATTAAGGTGGCAGACTTTGTGATTAAGTACCTCGCCTGCAGCAATTGTAATGACATGCGGAGTGAAGCCTTGACCTGCAGATCCTGCGAGCCACGCACCTGAAGAAAAAAAAAAGAGGAAAAAAAAAGGAGAAAAAGGGATCAAACCAAGGAAGAAAAGAGAGGAAAAAGAGGAGGAGATAAAGGGCAGAAAAGGAAAAGAGGAACGCAAATCAAATGGGAGCGACTCTTTTTTCTGGCACGAAAGAGATGGACTTGGATCCTGTCTGATCCCATGCAACAGTAAGTAGTAGCTGAACAGTGCCGGATGAATGCGCTCGAGGAGAAGAAGAGATAAAAACTACGTGGGCGATCGAGCACGCAAGCAAGCAAGCTGTCGACAAGTGCTTGCTATAGATCCCAAGGAAAAAAAGGAAACAAGCACAAAGCTCCACCGATCATAATCTTCCACCCAAACACGACCATTCAAGCCAAAGCAAAGAGCCAAGCAAAGCAAAGCACGATTTTGATGATCATCCAAGCTTCCACTGCTAAGCTAAGAGAGAAGGAAAGAGAGAACGAGCAAAAAAAAAACAAAGCTTTCTTCACTTACCCAAGGCGGCAAGCTGCTGCTTCTTGCCAGTGCCCGGCGGCCTCCCTCTCTTCTTCTCCCCCGAGGCTGGCGGAGGAGTGGCGGCGGCGGTGGCGAAGGGGAGCTGCGACGCGGCGGCGGCGTTGGAGGCGGCGGCTAGCGGCGCGAGCGCGAGCGCGACGCCCAGTGGGCTGGGCGGGGTGGGCAGCCCGGAGATGGCCGAGATCCCCGACACCGGTGGCGGGGATGGATTGGGCAGCGGCGGCGGCGGCGAGGAGCCCATGATGAGCACTGGCGACTGGCTTGACGTCGTCCCCTCCACATACTTCCTGGGCCTCCCGCGCTTGCGCTTGAGCAAGGGACCGCTGCCCAGCGTCAGCGCCGATCCGTGAGAGAATGGGCTGCCGCTGCTCATCGCCGCGCCCGCGCTCGCGCTCGCCGTGCCACCACCGCTGGATCCATTCCCATTCCCATTGTTGCTGCTGCTTTGCTGCTGCTGGATCATCATCATCATGGGTGGTGGTGCCATTGCAGCTCCTCCCGGGGGCGACGACGAGGAACTAGGGTTCTTGCTGGAGCTGGATCCTCCTCCTCCTTCTCCTCCTCCGGGCAATGGTGGTGCTGTGGCGACTACAGGGGGATCGGGCGCGACTGTTCCTCGCCTCAGATCGATGCTCGTCTTGCAGTCCGCGGCGGCGTGGTTGCCGGCTGTGAGGAGCGGAAGCGCCGCGAGCGAGGGAGGAGTCGCAGCGCTAGCACCGCCGGAGGGATCCTTCGCTTCCATGCAGCATATGAGAGAGGGAGATGAGAATGGCGAGAGCAAAGCGCGCGCGCGAGGGGATAGAGATGGAAGGATTCTTCGTCTTCCTCCTCCCGGCTCTTTTGGACTTTTAGATTCGACTGCTTCCACTCCCGCGATCTTCCACCCTTTTTGTTTGCTTCTCAATCCCTTGTCACGATCTCTTCTCTTCTCGCCCTTGGGGATCAAGCAATCAATCCATCATTTCCCTGTTCTAGCTCACGATCATCACCAGGAGAAAAAAGGAGGAGGAGCTTCTCACCGCCTGGTCTTAACTCCATCTCCAGCTGCATCGCCTCCGCGCCACCTCTTCACCGGATTTGGATTCGATCATGGCTGGCCGCCCTCGAACCGGAAAAAAGAAAAAACGCGAGAAAAAAAGAGAGGAAAGAAAACAATATATAACAAAAAAGGGGGAAAAGAAAAGAAAAGAAACCAGCCTCAAAATCCGCTGCTCCCCCTGGAGCAATCTCACTTGGAATTAAGATGGAGCAAAAGGAGAGAGAGATTGTAAGTGATGTGAATCAAAATCAATCAATCAATCAGCTTTGTCTTTGTTGGTATGGCCAGGAAGAAGAAGAAGGAGAAGAAGCTTGCTAGGGTTTATATATATCTGGAGTGGAGTGTGCCTGGATTTTGGTGGATGGGCCTATTTGATGATCTTGCCAGTCTCTATTGTGTCTGTGTACTTCCCTTTCATACACTATACTCTCAAATGGGAGGGAATTGAGAAAATGGACATGGCCTCAAACAGGGGAGGGTCCCAAGATTGTCAAAGAATCTAGCCCCTCTACGCCGTATGTGGACTGGTATTATACGCGGGGTATTTATACCTTGGCGCGCCACCTGCATACGATCTTGACCGCGCATTTCCGGAATTTGCACGGTGATTCCGGGTCAGAATGGGTCAGGCGATGCAGGGCTGACGGGCATTGGATTTGGATATTCTGGGGCTGGCAGTGGGTGCCTTTTCCACTCGTGCACCCCTGCCGTATTACGCCCCCTGGTCGTATGGTCGCAAATGGCCCATGGCGTTTGTTGTACGGTGGCACTATGCACATGCTTCAAGCATGGAGCGGGCTGCGATTTTGAATTCTCTCCGGAAAAGCGATACGTCTTTTACTTTATGGTTTCCGATGAAATAAGAAATGCCTTTTCTCTTTTTAATATATGAAAATTTATTAGTTTTTTGCGCGAGATTCATTTGTGTCTCTCTCTAGATTATTTTATTTCAGAGATTATCACACCTTGTCGTTCTCTTGGGACGTTCACATCGCTAATAAAAATAGTAAACACCAGGGCAAATAAAAATTGTAATGGAAGCAAGGTATTGGATTTAAATATGGTAAAGGCGCGATTGCTATTTGGAAAAGGAAACTTGTTGGTGTTTTAAGGAGATGAACTTGGAGTTGTGTGCAGGATAAGAATTGGTGTCTATGAGACTCGAAGAACTTTTGAGTAATTTTTAGAAATCATCATCTTCCTCACACTCACACACACAAATAATATAGAAATTGTGAGGAGCATCTTTCATAGATTTTATAATGTTTCAGACTTCCATTGAGAGATGTGAAATGTAACTTGAACTCTAAACTTATGAAATGCTAAAATATTTTGCAAAAGCAAGATTGAAGGAACAGGATAAATAAATAAATATAAGAAATAAAAAAATAATAACAATTCTACCATATGCCTGCTTGCTGGCGAGACTGATCAACTCCAACTAACACTCCACTGATGCAAATACAAATGTTTGTTTGAGCCTTTTTGGAGTTTTCAGATGCCATTTGCTACAGAAAGGCATGCACAATAAATACAAAGTAAAATATGTTTATTATAAAAGAAATCCTAGAAAATGGAGGAAGCTGGCATATGTTGAATTTGAACACAGTTGATTCAAAGTCTAAAGACAGGCCAAAATAAAAATGACACACATAGTCCCCTATCAAGAGACACAATTATAGGAAAGATCCACTTGTTTACACTAAACTTTGCTTTCAAACTTTCTCTAAATGCACCAACAATTATACAGAGGCATAGTATTGACCCTTTGCACTGGCATTTGGGCAGTCCCCCGAAATTTTGCATGTTCCTTGAGGACTATAGAAACCACTTTCCTGAATTTGGGACAAGCAAATTGGGGGAGGGCTTGATTGATTTGCTTTGAATAATGTTGTGTTTCTTGACTTGGAGAACATATGAGCTGTCTTGAGAAAAAATAACTATATTTCAAATGAATGCAATGGGCCTTCTTTTTTCTTGAAGAACGAAAAGCTTTAACAAATAAAAAGAAAAGAAAAAAAAAGGAGAGTAGAGCTCCAAGCAAACTCCAATAAAAGCCACTGTTGTTTGTAGTGGAATGGGATGAATACACCATCCAACCAAAAGCCTAGCCTAGAAGTTTGAGTTTTGGCCACTTTTTTATTTCCAGGATTTTGGTAAAGTATGAAAAAGGCCTTGTTTTTTCCCTTTGCCAATTCTTCAAGCCAGAACAATTTAGAAAACGTATGCATTTATTCCTTGTGGTAATAATACAATTTGGCTTTTCTTTCTCTGCACTATTTCTAGTTCTTGTAGCTATGAAAGGAAGAAAAAAGAAGAGGAAAAAATATAGCTAATACTCCTCACCTTCGTCCTCTCCCTCGCCATCAGCGGACTCGGCGCCAACTTCCTCGTAATCCTTCTCCAGAGCTGCCAGATCCTCGCGGGCCTCGGAAAACTCCCCCTCCTCCATCCCCTCGCCAACATACCAGTGCACGAACGCGCGCTTGGCATACATGAGATCAAACTTGTGATCCAGCCTCGAGAACACCTCGGCAACGCTGGTGGAGTTTGAGATCATGCACACGGCACGCTGGACTTTGGCGAGATCACCGCCGGGAACCACAGTCGGGGGCTGATAGTTGATACCGCATTTGAACCCGGTGGGCGACCAGTCCACAAACTGGATCGTCCTCTTGGTCTTGATGGTTCCCACCGCGGAGTTGACGTCCTTTGGGACGACGTCGCCGCGGTACATGAGGCAGCAGGCCATGTATTTGCCGTGGCGCGGGTCGCACTTGGTCATCATCGACGCCGGCTCGAACGCCGTGTTTGTGATCTCGGACACCGACAGCTGCTCGTGGTAGGCCTTCTCGGCGGAGATAACCGGCGCGTACGACGAGAGCACGAAGTGAATGCGCGGGTATGGCACCAGGTTGGTCTGGAACTCGGTGATATCCACGTTGAGAGCACCGTCAAAGCGTAGAGAGGCAGTGAGAGACGAGATCACCTGGAAAGAGAAGAAAAACTCGTCAACTTTTCTCTTGTTTTATCGGTTCTCTTTCTATACCTGCGAGACCAATCTGTTCAAGTTGGTGTAAGTCGGCCGCTCGATGTCGAGAGATCGTCTACACAGATCGTAGATGGCCTCGTTGTCGAGCATAACGGCCACGTCTGTGTGCTCGAGCAGCGAGTGCGTCGAAAGAACGCTGTTGTATGGCTCCACCACGGCCGTGGAGACTTGCGGCGAGGGATAGATGGTGAATCCCAGCTTGGACTTCTTGCCGTAGTCCACCGAGAGGCGCTCCAAGAGGAGGGAGCCCAGGCCGGAGCCGGTGCCACCCCCGACTGCGTGGAACACGAGAAATCCTTGCAGCCCGGTGCAGTTGTCCGCCAGCTTCCGTACTCGATCGAGGCAGAGATCGACAATCTCTTTCCCAACTACAAGCAAAAAAAAGAAGAAGCCATGGATCAGGAGGGAAAGAGAAAGAGAAGATAGCTTACTTGTGTAGTGTCCTCGAGCGAAGTTATTGGCCGCGTCTTCCTTTCCGCTGATGAGCTGCTCGGGGTGGAAGAGTTGGCGATACGTTCCGGTCCGGACCTCGTCGATCACAGTCGGCTCCAGGTCCAGGAACACGCAGCGTGGGACGTGCTTCCCCGCGCCGGTCTCGCTGAAAAAGGTGTTGAATGCATCGTCGCCTCCTCCGATTGTCTTGTCGCTTGGCATTTGGCCATCAGGCTGCGATAAAAAATGGTGTAAGCTCCAAAAATTCGTCTCCAAAGTTTCGTTCTTACTTGGATGCCATGCTCCAGGCAGAAGAGCTCCCAGCACGCATTTCCAATCTGGATGCCGGCCTGGCCAATGTGGATCGAGATGCACTCTCTCATCTTGGCCGGACGACGAACGAATCTAGAATTGGACGAAACGAGCGCAACGACGACGAGGCAACGAGTTCCTCGGAACTGCGCTGCTCCTTTTATACCGATGCGGCGGTTACTGTAAAAAGCGCAGGCCCGGCGCGGTAAAAAGCACCAGCGTTCGCAGCGGGAGCGCCGGTTTTACCCGTTTTACCGCGGCAACCGCCGCCATCTTCAACGCGAAACGGCGGTTGAAACGCCCGCTGAACTGTCAGCCGGCAACCGTATTTTTCTGCCAGCGTGGACACAACCTAAAAAATTAGGGCTAGGGCTTCCACCAAAAGGAAAGAAAAAGAATTTTATAAAGAAAAAGAGAAACGCAACAAAAAAAAGGGAAACACTCATGAGAGCGAAAATAAAAAAATTAATAAAAGAGGGGAAAAAAGGAAGAAATAAAACCACGCCTAATTGTGACAGTGAAGAGGGGGGAGGGAATCCAATGTGCACAGCCAGACAGACAAGCCCCCTTTCCTTTCTTCGCTTGATCCACACTGACTTATTTTTCCAGCTGGTGTAAGCTCTGCCGCGCGCGCGGCGAGTTCTTCTTCCATTATCTCCTCTTCCAGATCGTCAACCATCTGCGCTTGCTGGCCCTTCTCAGCAAATCCCATTCGAGCGCCTCCAGTCGATCAATGCTCGCTCGCCCTGCCAGCCATCGCCCAGAAAGCCTTTGATATCTGTAACGCTCGCGGAGCTCCATACTAAAATCTTTAGTTGGCAGCTTTGTAGTTCTTCTTCTTGTTCCAGAAGCCACTTTGATCTGTTCTATGCCCCCCCTCCCCCAATTCGTTCGTAGAACTCGTAGCCCCCTATCCCTGTTTTGTTTCTTCTTCCTATCCTGCGAAATCTATAACCTTCTACCACCCCAGCTAGACCAATTCTTATAGCTAAAGCAAACACACTTGCCTGGAATCCAATCGAGAGATGTGTGTGATCTAGTTCGGTTCTCTCCGGCAGTGAGCGATGATGGAGCAGCCGCGCTTGTAAGGATTGGCGGCGCCACCGCGGTTGCATCGAGGATTGTAGTACGAGTTGCCCGACATTGGAGGGCAGGGCACTCGATCCGCCGTTAGCGAGCCATAGCTGATGTAGGTCTGGCGGCTCGCAAGAAATCTGCCATGAATTTCCGTATCCAGCAAGAATTCGTCGATGCCGCCTCCACCGCCAACGCTGCCGCCGCTGCCCAGGCCCTGCGAGCTCGACGTTCGCACCGCCAGGAGCGCACACACTACCGCTAACAAGCACAGGCGCCAGTGCTTGCTGATGATGGAGCTGGCCATCTAGGGATTGAGAAAGAACCGAGTGTGAGCGGCGAGATAAGTATCGATCGATGCTGTGCTTGCTGTGGAAGAAAGAATCTTACCTTCTCATGAACAATGCTGGACGGATCGCGTGCCCCAAAACCCTCCCCCCTGGCACCGAAATATCGATATTTCTTCCAAGATCCGGCCCCGGGACTGCCAAACCGCGCCGCTTCGCCAAGATCTGCCGCGAGTCGGATGCAAGGAGGCGATCTGGAATGTAGCTAGCTAGAATCTGGCTCCAGCTCTGGGTGCTCGAAATCGCCACGAAATCCCCGTGCCGCCAAGAACGCGCTAGAGGAGGAGAGCAACACAGCAATGCCGACCTAGCTAGCGCTCTCCCTCTCTTCCTTTCTCTCTTCTCTTTCACGCGGAGGCGCCGAAAGGAAGACTAAAGCGTTTCCAAGAACCGCAAATACTCGGGCCAGCTTCGGGGCCAGGCTCGGGCGAAACTGCAGGCTCGGAACTGACGGCTCCGTCTGCCGAGCCTCCGCCTCGCAGGTGCCAGCCTGGCAACCGTTCCGCTCCGTCTCCGCCGGCACCGGGATATTCTATCCCCGCGGGAAAACGGCGCATATTCTAATCACCCAACACTAACAAACCATAGCCACATGAGAGATTTTGGTTGATGGCTACAGCCTTGTCGCACATTCAAAGTTCTCGCCAACTTTTTCCTTTGATCTTTGTGGAGAAAGGAAACAATGCAAGCAGGCAAGCAAGCTGTGTGCGCGTGTTGCGTGTTGCGTGTGGTGGTTGAAAAAGCCGCGCATTTGTATCGTATTATGAGATGCCGCCAACCATCACCGTCACCACCACCACCATTGCTATACCCCTCACCGCCACCACCTCTCACCACCGCCACCATCACCACAACCACTATCACCACTACTACCCTCACCACTACCACTTTCTCACCACCGCCACCATCACTCTCCCACCACCATCAACCACTACCACACCACATACCACATTTCACCACGTGCACCACCACCACCACCGCCACCGCCACCACCTTTCATCGCATACGTGTCTCCTTTCATTTAAGTCTCTTTCCCTCTCGAGGACGAGCAAAAGCTTTGCTCCCTGCCACTGCGAGAAAACAAAATCCACCTAATTCACAACAGCTTTCACGACGACATGAATGGAAAGGAATTTGAATGAAATGGTGTCGATCGATCGTAAGCCTGTAAATATTTATACATACAGCCAGCGTCTTTGATGGATATATGATGACGAGCAGCGAGCGAGCGAGAGAGAGAGAGAGAGTTACTTATCGAGTTCTTTCGTCTTCTTTCCTGGCCTGGAATGCTCAGTGAATTCACAAACAGTCTTCTACCAAATGTAACGCCGAATGTAACACGGAAGAGAGAGAGAGAGAGAGAGAGAGGAAAAACAAAACAATCCTCTGATGGGACCGGTACCTCTACATTTGCGTCGTCGTCGTCTTCCAAGCTTGTTGTCGTCGCCAATGTTCTCCACTTTATAGCAAGTGTCTCCCGAGGAAAGAAGCGACCAGGCAGGCCGCGACAAGCTGGAGTCCGGGAAGAGTGCCTGTGCTGGAGCTCCGAGTGGAAGATGGAGCCGGAGCTGGAGCCTGCGCAAGCGAAGGGAGCGGCGGCTCCGCTATGTCTAGTGCTGGAAATGGCGCACCCGCGGGCGGAGGAGCCAGGCCCAGATCACCCGGCAGTATAAGTGGAATCGGAGAGCTGCTGCTCGAGTCTCGAGGAACACAGCGATTAGCTGCAAACAAAGAAGAGACAAACAAATGTGTAAGTGCATCCATAAAGCTTCAACGAAACAGAACTTACTCAAGTATGACTTTGCGGTCTCGGGAAAATCGGTGACAATCCCGTCAATGTCGTAAAACTGCACGTAAGTGTTGAGCTCCAGAGTTGGATCCGCAAGAAAGTCGAAGGCTATGGCAGTAAACGGATTCCTGAAGTATACAACGACCACGGATAAGCTGTGGTTGTGCACGCGTTCTACAACGTCTGTGGGCACGGTGAGAAACGAATCAGCAGTCGGACTGACGAGAGATCTCGGAACGGCTACACCGCTGGCAAACTGCTTAATTTCTTCCAGTACCGCGTCTGTCAACGTCTTGTTTCCCGGAACGCTGTATATTAAGTCAGCCGAGACAAGATTGCGAAGCGCTCGCAAAACGGTCGCGTCCTCGGATTGAATTACCACATTTGAGGTGTTGGTAAATCCTGCCTGTCTTAAAGCCGCTGAGACAGCTGCTACGGTATCAATGCCAAATGTTCCATTCAGAAGATATGCTCTCTGCAATAACAATGCAAATAAGATCTGAGACATGCAATGCAAGCTAAGCGAGGAAGATACCTGCAAGACCAAATAAACGCCAACGTTTGGGCTGTCCTTAGTAATGTTCAGAAAGTCGGATAGCGTGAGAAGACTCTGGGTACCATCGTTTGCCTTGTTCCGTACAATAGCACTTTCGGGATTGTATATGTTGGCTGAAAGCGATTTTGTAACTAAGGAGAAAACCATGCAATGAAAACCAGACCTTTCAGCGACTTGATTTCGTCCCATGTGAAATCAAACGTGAAAATCCCGGGTGCGTCTTGCAGGGATTCATAGGTCTTTGTGCGCGATAGCAGTGGAGTCCCACTTACATCTGTGTTGAGTAGAAGGTCAGGTGATTGTGTACATATAGCCACTCCATCTTTGGTCATCTGAACGATGCAATCGATGTAATCGGCTCCCTTGCTGATCGCACTGCTATAAGCAAGACGAGTCGAGCCGGGATAATTTCCACTGTCTCCTCCGTTGTGGGTTATAACTCGCTTGCTTTTAAACGGTGCAATCACTTTATCTGATAGCAGCAGACAAGTGAGTACCCTGTCATATCAAAATGATAAATTCAGATATGCCTACCACTCGCTTCCGGAGATTTTCCACCATTTTGGTTCCCATAACAATCTATAAAACAAGCGAAACCAGTCATAAAATAAATTGCGGCGTCAGAATTATTACCTATTGCCAGAGATGCTGTTGTTGGAAAGTCCGAAGAAACGCCATCGACGGCAAAACTGGGATCATCGATAAAGTAGAGTATCTCTCTAATAGGATCGAAGCTGTAGTTGTAGCTGTTAGGATATTGATCGTTAGCAAAACCGAATGCATGTACTTCAAGCCTTGCCCGGTGAGCATCTTGGACAATAGTGGTAGGATTTTCCAAGAGAAGCGTGGTCGGATTGAAGGTTCTTATCAAACTTTTGGATACCAGAATTCCAGATGTCAAGGTTCTAATGTTTGTCAGGTTTGCCAATAGAGCTGCATACGTCTGATTCGTCGTCGGTTCAGGGTCCGTAAGACTATTAACCTTCAAAACGGTTTTTGTTCTGCTTCTACTGCTGGCACGAGAGCGCAGGGTCCTGAGAAGTCCCACCTCAGGCGTAGAAATGTAGTCAGGGGAAAGATTTCTTAAAGTTGACAACACGTAGGATGTCATGTTGATCTTCCGATCATCATAAAATTTACAGTACTGAGAAAAAAGAAAGAAAAAACATCAGCCAACGCAATCATTTTCTTAGACTTATACCTCAACGTTCAGCCAAAGCAGGCCCGGCAGTCCAGTCGTATTCGTATAGCTAGCCAAAAGCCCGGCAACCATATCGGGAGACGCAAGTGGGTCGCCATCGAAAGTAGCAGGACGACTGAGAGGTCCTTGTCTAGCTGCAGAAAATCACTTAACATTCAGGAACCAGAAACGAGCAGAAACATACCCGTGACGTTGCTCAGCTGGATGGACGTGAAGTCCACGGCAAAATAGCCATTGATAGGCTCGCCATTGACAATGTAAGTCGAGTTAGCTCCTGGAAAAATGTCCCCGATGTTCGTGGTGGCTTCCAGGCCGATTTGCGTTCTGCAAATGGGCTGCCCGTCCTTGGAGAGCTGCAAGTCACAGTAGAGCGCAATGCCGCCGGAAGTTTTCTTGAGCGCATCGGCGTAGGATCTTAAGGTCTGGTCGGGGAAAACCCCCGACTGGCCATTGGAGATGACGAGAGGCTTGGCACCTGAAAAAGGGACGATTTTAATGGGGATAGAAAGAAGCGAGCACCTAACGTACCCGTTAACGTTTTCCACGAAGACCCCACCGGAGTGGCGGATGGCGCTGGCGCTGGACCTCGCTGCGCTCTAGCTACCGAAATCACAACCGCCGCAAGGAGAAGCGCGCGGAGCGAGCGGCGATACCAGCACATTTTCAATCGGTAGACGACTCGCGAGCTCTTCCTGATCAAGAATCGCAATGAGACACGAATTTCCAGGCCGGATCGGCCAATGCAAGCACAAAGATCGCTGGCAAGAGAGAGATTTCGAGCCGCATTACCTGAAATCCCCCGAGAGACTCAAATGCCGATGGCGCGCGCTCCTGCGCGATCGATCGTCTGGCGACAGGCCTAGCTAGATCCTCCTTCGCCGCGTTGATCCCATTCCATTCCGCGGCGAGCAGCTGGAGCGCACAGTAAGTACACAGGGGATGAGACCAAGTTCCCTAGAGAATATTGGAGCCAGAAGCTTCGATGCCAGCGTATCGTCCATCTGGTGGCTATTCCGGCCCAGGGATTCCGTAATGGCCAGACGATGGGCGGCTGCGATCACGTCGAAGAGAACCCGCCACGTTTATGACGCCCCAGTCCTTTCGTGCAGATTCACGTTGAGTGGGACCATCTGCCACGTGGAGATCGGATATTCTCCAAATATCCACCGGCATATTCTCTTGCGAGCTCCGGCCTGGGAAGTCAATAGCCAGCTACGAGTTTGTTTGTTTGGAAGTACTGCCAGTGATGAAAGAGATTGCGATCTGTGATGCATTCATGGAGTGCCATTCATGTGAAAACTAAGAGGAAAAAAAATTTCAAGCTTTTTTTATGAGCACTGTCTCTCTGGACCGGAATGAACGGACATTCTTTTATCGACAGGGACTCAAATCGATCAAGGCTGGAGAAATAACGAAGAAAGAAAATATATCATGTTTTGGCCTTGGCAGTACCTTGGAATTGAATTGGAATTGAGAGAGCAGTAGTTTCATATGACACACTTCCTTGTACCTTTTGTCGCTTTGATCTGGAAACTGAAACTTTGAGCTTGAATCCACCGCGGCTTTCATGGCACCAGGAAAGGACCATATAAAAAATATAGAGTCGCAATCCGTGGACTACAGGGGCACTTTGTACTTTTTCCTTTGCTTTTGGCGTAAAGTTGTGAGTCAAAAGAGCGAACCCGGTGTTCACGCTCTTTTCTTGTAGAGAATTTTTCTCGCTCGATCGTGTCTAGCGAGACTTTGATAGTTAGAATTTTACAGCCGCTTTGATTGCGTCTAAAACCTGGAAGTAAATGGAGAGAGAATAAAAAAATGGTTGTCAAAGCCGCGGATCAAGCCATGCTTACTTTGTTTGCTGTAGGCATGTAGAATGGCTCAAAGACAAGAGGAAACGGCGTGTCAAGGCCGCATACTCTCGCAATCGGGGCCTCGAGCTGTCCAAGAAGATCCAAACAAAAAAGCACTTACGAATTTCAGCCGAAGAACAAGTAAACTTAATGTACCCGTAGAAAACAACGCTCCGCAATGGTTGCTGCGATCTCTGCGCCAAAACCTCCAGTGACTGGCGCTTCATGGCTAACCTGAAAGCTTCGTGTTAACGTAGCACACCAAAAACACAACAAAAAAGAAACGTTAATTTGCGAAGACTTACTATCAACTTCCCCGTTTTGTTCACCGAAGCTTCCACGAGTTCCTTGTCCCATGGAATGAGAGTTCTCAGATCAATGAGCTCACACGAGATTCCTTCCTGGAAGAACACAAACTTGGTCACCTTTTGCCGAAAGAAACACGAGTACAGTACCTTTTCGGCCTCGGCGCATGCTTGCTGCATTACTGCGAGTTGCGCTCCCCACGCAACTAGTGTAATGTCTGTCCCCTCGCGTATCACCTGCGAGCCCGAGTTAGTGCACAGAATGAATCGTTTTTAGTTCTCCAACGGTGTACCTCTGCTTTGGACAAAGGAAGCATGTAATCTCCCTCTGGAACCTCGTCCACGGATAGACGATACAGCCACTGGAAATGATCGACATCCATCAACAATTATGAGAATTTTCCCGTAGAGAAAGTGGACGTCCTTCCTCAATCCTCACCTTCGGTTCGAAAAATATAACAGGATTCGGGTCTCTGATAGAAGCAAGCAACAATCCTTTCGCTTGTGACGGATTCCTTGGAATCACCACCTGACAAAAGAAGAACCTTTGCCATTAAAGCCATCTTGATTGAGCATACCTTTAGACCAGGAACATGGCAAAAAAAAGCTTCTGGGGACTGGGAATGATAGTGGCCTCCATGTCCTACGGCACCATACGGAGATCTTACAGTGAGACCTGCACAACTAGTCAAGCACACAATTTTGTGAGTAGTACATAGTACGAGCAAAAAGGATAGAAAAAGAGACAGTTCTCACCTCCACAATTAAAAGCATTTCCGCTCCTGTACCGGAACTTTGCAGCTTCGTTCACGAGCTGAGCCCATAGTTTATTTTAGATTTTCATCGAAAAGCAAGCTAGGTACTGTCAACTTGCCTGATCAAACGCTGGGAAAATGTAGTCTCCGAACTGGATCTCGGCGATAGCACGATTTCCCTGCAAACTCAAGACTTGGAGTTAGCCAGGAAAAAGAAAAAAAGTATCGTCATGTCTAACCATAGCAGCAAGACCAATTCCAAATCCAACGAGTCCCTGTTAAGGAGAGAAAACAACTTTTCAATCGTCGAACAGTTTTTGTTTTTTTTTCTTTGTGATCCATTGTTACTTGCTCGCACAAAGGAGTGTTGAAAACTCGATGCGTCCCAAACGCATCCGCCAGCCCGCTAGTGCACCTAAAAACTCCACCGAATTTAACATCTTCTCCAAACACGTAGGCCCTGCCCAAGGAATTCCCGTGAAAATTTTCATGAAAGAAATGCTACAGCGATTTCTTGCCTTGGATCCGATTCCAGCGCAATGTGAAGCGCCTCGTTCACTGCCGAGAAGAGATTCATGCGCTTCGTCTCGCATGGCAGTGGAATTGTGGCGGAAGAAGGAGAAGATGAAGAAGAGAACGATCGGCGCCCAGAGAGAGCTCCAAATACCCTACCGTGAAACCGCCCCATTCTTGAATCGGCTGGAGCGAGATTGCCCTACCTAAGACGCTTCTCACCTGACTCGACTGAGTTATCCATGAGCTACCCGTACGAGATCGTCTTCCGTATCCACGAGTTTAGGGTTTATAGAATTAGGGTTTATCAGGAATGGGGCGGTGCCCGAATCACAAGAAGCCGGCGAAGAAGAAATACTCCCACAAGAGCGCGCGGCGGGCCAAATTCCTGGTCAAGGATATCCTTTTTGCTTCTCCGATGATTGGTAGGCATTGGTGGTGTTCTCCTTGACAGATTCTAGGCACGCGATGATATGATCTATTCGGAGGTGAAGAATTTGGAGTCGTCTATGGACGAAGGGGCGCCCGCGCGAGCTCGAGACGAGGATCTCCCTGGAATGGGGCAGTTCTACTGCTTGCATTGCGAGTTAAGCGCCGATTCCTTGTCTTTCATTCTTTATAAACGCTTGCTTCTTTCAGCCGGTATTTCTCGTCGTCTTCGATCATGGAAGAGCATTTTAAGACCAAACGGCATAAGAAAAGGTTTGTTTTTTCTTCCTTGTTCTTTGCGAGGCCTGCTTTAATCTTCTTTCACTTCTCGATAGAGTGAAGGCCATGCAAGGCCCAGCTCCACATTGTCAACTAGACGCGGAACTCGCGGCTGGGCAGGGCAAACCGGATAACGGGCCAAAGCTCGGAGTTGTATCCTCGTAAGAAACTCGTGAAATTCTCACTAACTCTTTTGCAAACCATACGCTTGCATTGAAATTTTTCTCCTGGCAATTGCAATGAGGAATCAAAGGCCGGTCTGAAAGCCACCCTGCAGCAGCAGCTGCCAGGAGGAGGCTCTTCTCTGATGACCATTTCCAGCTTGAAAGGTCTTGTCTCTGAGCAATAAAAACATGCTTTTGCTTTTGCTTTTCCTCACTTTGAGAAACGATCTCCTTTGAAGTAACTTGCCAAATTTAAGATTTAAGATTCACAGACGAGTATTATTCTCAAGAAAAAACAGAAAACGAAATAACAAAGAGGAGTCCATCTTGATGTTTATGTTTTGATCTAGTGAGTTTCTTGGTGTTCATGCTGTGATCTAGTAAGATTGTTGAAGAGGCTGAGTTAACCCATCTGATGGATTGTAGATCAAAACGTAGAGATTGATGGATGCAGCCAGTGTCACCCTGGATGAAACAATGTAATTCTTTTATTTCTAAGAAGTGCAGCCACTTACCAGAGAATGTATGGTATAAGTAAATATGCAGCTGCATGACTCACTGGCCAGAAGAGGATAATAGTTGCAAGGATGGCGAGCCACAGCAGAACTATTTCAGCAAATGCAAAATCCTGTGACAACACACTGTCAGCCAGGAGCAAAAATTTCACCAGCGCCAACTTACAAATCGATGGTAGCCGAAAAAGATTGGCGTCCATGCAAAGTTTAGTATGAGCTGCAACAACCACAAATGAAAACTCAGCTCTTTCTTCTGAATAAAAACCAAAAGTGAGGAATTTTATAACCTGAACGATGTAAATGGCTAGAGGAAGCGCGTGCCTCTTAAAACCTGGAAACGAAGGAAAATTTACAGGAAAGAACTTGTGATGAGATGCTTCTCAAAGGTTTCTAATTACCTCCATCTTTCCAGACAAGCCAGGACGCGATCCCCATGAGAATGTAGAGAGTTGTCCACATTACAGGAAAGACCCAGCTCTGGCACAAGCAGAGAGAGAAGTTAGAAGAAACAAGTGAGGGATTTTTCCATTTTACCGGAGGCGTCCATGGAGGCTTGTTGAGCTGCCTGTACCAAGCTGCAAGAACATGGGAAATTTAAACTTGGGCAACTGAGACTTTGGGCGATTGAAACTTACGGCTGTCACCACCAGCTCCAAATTTCGCTCCCGCAAATCCTCCGGCCACTGGGATGGCTATCGCCACGATCAGCCCCAGAATCGCTCCCCAATCCATTTTTTTTTCAGCAGCTTTATCCGCTAGCCTAAACACCAAATCTCCTCCCTCGCGTTTAGAAGCTAATTTAATAATCTTGAGTAACATACTGTATAAAATCACCATTAAAGAAGATTTATAAAGGCTTGTAATGACTGAGTTCGTGTCTACCATCTTGAGTTCGCAACAACAACAGACTCTCTCACTATCGCCTGAAAACACCGGAGACCGTTTGCTCCACATTTTTAAGAAATGGGGTTGGAGCTCAAAAATGGTGTGGCTCTGGATGAAAATTTGCTGTCAGTCCGGCCTCCAGGAGAGGTTTCTCCATCTTTTCATCCATGAAAAGATGGAGAAACTATTGGACCACTATCAGTGAACTTGCAAGCTTCTTGAACGTTTCGACACTTGCATACATCCTCCCGCCAGGTTTGAGGCCGGTTGGGGTGGCCATGAGGTGTGACAGTGCTGTGAGGTGTAATTGTAGTGTTGTGGAACTACTTGCATTTACCAGTTCAGTGATTTAGTACCAACTCAGTTTACTATGTTTTTCCAATCGTGGTGGGGAGAATTCTTGACGATCAGAGTTTGGGGTGTGGCGCGGGCGGTAGTGATGTCTGGAGAGTTCTATATATCGGAAAAAAACAATTATTTTTCAAGATCCAACCACTTGCTTGTTGAATGTTTGAAATTCTTAAACCAAGAAACCATGTGCTATGTTTCAGCCACTGTACAGCTGACTTTGCATATCTATAAGATGAAGACATAACTTCAAATCAATTTGGTCTGGCTCAAGAGGGGTATGGGTATTCTTCAGAAGCTGAGTCTAGCTTTGTTCATCATTGTCTACATCTCATTTGTGTTCATGACAATAAGCTCTTCAGCAGCCATGTTCCAAGGTAACAAGGAAGCCAGGTTTTGATGTTGAATCTAATCATCTGACCATTTCAGATGGGCGTTGTATACGTTGTGGTAACAAAAAGTGCTGTGGAGGAAGTTCATGCCGAAGTAGAATCGGAGGGATTGGTGAATGTATCGATCCATGAGGACCTTGGAGATCTTGCAGGTTTAATACATGTTTTTTCTCTCTTAATCTCTTTGGGTGTTCTTCTAGATGACTGAATTCTCTGTTCTGTGAAGCTCTTCCTCTTCTTTCTTGAGAAGAAGCTAAATCTCTGGAATCCAAAGAAAAACTGGAGCTCTACCTTTAAGCCTGAGAGCAGCTTTGGATCTGAATCTCGTCCAAACTCAATCTGCGGTGGCAAAGCTCGAGCAGGATCAAAGTTTCTTGAATGTAGAAGATACTGAAACAAACGCAGCGGCTTCTTCTTGAGAAGAAGCTAAATCTCTGGGATCAAAAGAAAACCGTTAAGGCTTTGGATCTGGATCTCGTCCAAACTCAATCTGCGTCGACAGAGCTCGAGGGGGATGAAAGTTTCTTGAATAATATTTATGTAACACACAATGTAGCGGGAACATTGTAATGTCATTTAATTCAATGCTGGAAATGAGATGTGCTGCGTTACCCATGCCCGGCCTTTCTTGCTTCCACACCAAACCAGGGATGCGGAATATGCTCCGTTGCTTCGAGCCTGTGGGAATTCCAGAAGCCTCGCACACGCGAGACAGCTTCACGCCCGGATTTGGAAGCAAGCGACGACCACATTTGTTGATAACTTGATCGTCGAAATGTATGGAAAGTGCAGCGCGATCGATGACGCATGTTTTGTTTTCGAGAGCATTCGTAAGCGGAATGTTTTCTCGTGGACAATGATGATTTCCGCATTTGCCCAAAATGGGCATTTTTTATCTGCGCGTTTGTGCTTCTGGAAAATGAATTTGGAGGGCATAAAACCCGATCGAATAGCCTTGATTGCGACTATTGATGCTTTGGCCGAGATCGCGTCTGCAGCAGACATTGTGTTGCTTCGAACTTGCGTTCACGAATTGGGTCTTGCTTCTGATCTTGTCTTGAAAAATGCACTGCTCAATTTATACAGCATCTGGCTGAATCTACAAGAAACAAAAACTATGTTCGAAAGACTTGAAACCAAAGATGTTATCACTTGGACTTGTATGATTTCTGCATATGCCCGAAAAGGGCATCCGGGCGCGCTTTTGCTGTTTCGAAGAATGGAGCTCGAGGGGATTGTGGCCAACGGAATCACATACATTGCCCTCTGTACAGCCCTTTCAAAGCTCCATCCGTATCATCACATTCGAATCAATCTCTTGGATCTTGAAACCCGGATTTCTCGATCTGGATTGCTTCCAATGGTGTGTTGCAGCTTGATCGAGATGTACGGGAATCTTGGCGACATAGAGAACGCAATGCGGGTCTTTACAACCTCCCTAGAACAGCACTGCAATGTGGTTGCTTGGACCGCGGCGATCAATGCTCACACACAAAATGGAAACCTTCGCAAGGCTTTGGAGATCTTTAGAAGAATGGATCTCGAGGGAGTCAGGCCCGACAACGTAGTGTTTCTTGCCCTCTTGGACGCGTGCATTGCGTTGCAAGATCTCAGCCAAGGCAAGCTCATTCATGAACGGATTGTGAGATTGGGGCTTAATTCGCATTCTAACCTTGTAAACACACTCATCAACATGTACGGAAAGTGTGATAGAGTTGACATTGCGAGAGGCATCTTTGATAGCCTCGATAAGAAGTGTGTGGTTTCTTGGACTGCGATGATCACTGCCAATGCTCAAAACGGGCATCCGCTAGAAGCCTTTCATCTCTTTTGTAGGATGTCCTTGGAAGGGATTCTCCCAACAAAGATCACTCTCATCACCCTTCTCGATGCGAGCTCGCTTCACTCGGACATTCTCCGCGGCAAGTTGGTCCACGAATGCATCGAAGATCTTGGCCTCGATCTCGAGGGCGCTTTGGGGAATGCTCTTGTCAACATGTATGGAAAATGCGGCAACACGAGTAAAGCTCTCTCGATCTTTGAATCAATGCAGTTGAGAGATGCCTGTGCGTGGAACACAATGCTTGCCGCATATGCCCAGGTCGGTCATATTCACTCGGCATTTGAAAAGCTCCAGGAAATGGAGCTCCAGGGAGTCCGCGCGACGGATACCACCTTCATCAACATCCTCTCCGCCCTGAGCCATGCCGGATCGCTCCACCGCTGCTGCGACTGCCTCATCTCAATGATCCAGGACTACAATGTTACACCCGCAAGCGATCACTACCGGTGTATTGTGGACATGCTTGCTCGGCTCGGGCAGCTCCAGCACGCAAACGAGCTCATGGAACTCATGCCTTTTGAGCCCACTGCCACGGCGTGGATGTCCCTTCTCGCGGCCTCCAGGGTCCACACCAAAACTTCATCCGTGGATCAAGTTTCTTGGGTGGCTGCCGAGCGGGTTTTCGAGCTGGAGCCCAGGAATGCATCTCCATACTTGGCTCTCTCCAACATCTACAAATGCAAGCGTGAAAGAATCTAGTGACTTGAAAGACAAAAACTATACATGTAAGTCGAATCTAAAGCTCGTGGGATCGAGCACGACGAAACGAGAGCCTGACCGATTTCAAGTCGTAGAGGACGTGATAGTTCTGCTGCATGATATTTCCAATGATGTTAATGCCCCCTCGCCCAACAGTTAAGCATGCAAGGTCGCCATCGACGGACATTACGTTCTCCTGGGGTGGCCGGAGCTCCGCGCCGTTAGCAAAGCGGAAGCTGATCGAGGGGAACCTGTAATTTTCGTGGCCCGAGGTGTTGAAGCACTTGTCCAAGTGTGGGACACTCACCTGCGGAAGATCGACCATGCTGGCGAAGATTTCCGTCACGTTGTAGGCACCGGTTAGAGATGTCACTGGGGAGCCCGAGTCGAAGACGGTCCAGCCGGTGTTGGCCTCAGACCCGGCCCACACGTCGTTCACGTAAACGCTGTGGAGATAGAGATTAGACTCGACACTAGAGCTGAAGAGGAGTGGCGTGCTCCGCGTGATCGAATCGGCCAGCTCAGTGCTGGGGATGACTGCAGGGAGAGCGCAGCGTCTCCAAAGAAGAGAGGGCTCGTTTCGCCTTGAGAGAGCCCAAAGATACTATCCACGTCTCTCACGGTCCCGGCGTCCTGAATCAATGCAGTTGAGAGATGCCTGCAAGACTGGACACTCCGGGAGCTGGAGGCGAGCTTGCCGAAGCACTTGGCTGGAGATCTCAGCGACGAAACAGGCATCAACTTCGGACAATCGTGTTTTCACTCTCAGCCCTGCTCCAAGTCGGGTGCTCGCGTCCTCTTCAGGCTCGCTTTTGCTCGAGTTTGAAGTTGGCACACACAGCGAGCTTGATCTCGGCATCACTTGAAGAGCTCCGGTGGATTGGTCTCGGGCTCGCCCTTGGCTGACAGCGGGAATGCAAGGGGATCCAATATGTGATATTGCTGGCTGTTTTGGAAGAGATCTTGATGTTGCTGTTCCATTCATACAGGGTGGTAGGCGAGGCAATCGAGCGCCGCCACGATGATCGATTCCTCCAGTCCTTCTAACTCCAAAGGGGCTTTGCCAAGGACGAAATGCCGAGCAGCATGAATGCGGGGGATAATCTCGTCCGGTGGGCGATCTAACAAAACGCCATGGATTTCGCAAACAAAGAAACCCCTGTCATATGGTTCAAGTACATGGTATGATTTTTTTATTACGGGAACCCGGTTGCTGAGATGATGGCTATCAGGTAAGTGTAGAGGTAAACCGTTGTACAAGACCCAGTTGCAGCCGACTTAATCCAGTGACAATATTGGCAAACATGGCATAGACAGAAAGGGACTTGGTGGGGACCGGAAAAAAGATATTGGCGAAAGTTATTCCTCTTGTCTGTGGGCATCCTAAAGATGCTAAGGAGTGGATCTGGGATGATCACTCATAAATGGATGGCTCAGTCTTTAAGAGACGGGACTGTGATGTAGGTGGTGTTAGACCACCGGTGTAACCAATGTAAATGGGTATGGCCTTAGCGTAACAAACTGATATGTCGGTGGTACTTTGGGGTGTCGGTCATGGGATCAGACACATGAAGCACTTGGACACAGTGCAATGGTTGAGTAGCTTGGATGCCATTCT